ATATGATAAATTGTATCTAATTTCTTTTTTCCTTATGAATACTACACTGAAAGAGCAGAAATATGTATATATTGTATGAGTCAGCATTGCAAACTTGGGAAACAGCAAGGTTTGATTTTTTTTTTTTTTTCAGTTCCAGATAGTCAGGTTAAACTGCTTTGATTTTACCTATTGTGAAAACAAAACAGTGTCAAAGGCAGAGATCAAGCATGGACTGTTTCATCTCAAACGAAGGAGTTGTTTAGCATTTATGAGCAGACGAAAGCTGGAATGGAAACCTGTTTGCAATGTTTATTACAGCTGTCCTAGTGTACATGTTGTAAGTAATGAACTTTGACTTGAAAATAAATTAAATGGGCAAAGTTTTTTCAGGCATTTTATGAAATAAATAAGGAAAAAAACAAATAAACAAACAAACGAAAAGAAGGCATGTGATGCTTTTGAAGACGTTTATTACAAAGGAGACTGATCCAGTGAAATTTTTTTGCATTCCAGCAAATTATTATTTTGTGGTGTTGGAGAGGTGATCAGTCTGAACTACTGGGGTAATTTTTGTGTTTAACCAGTTCATTCTGTTGATGACCAGAAAGCGGAGCAGACAAGGATAGCAAATGAGCTATCAATCATCTGCTCCAAAGAATTTGTAATCTTCTTGCACAAAATGAACTATTACAACTTGACTTGAGATACACTTTTATAATAAGCTAGAAGATATGCAGTTGAAAGAAGTGCCAAAACGAGCACCGTATATTTAATTAATTTCTTCATAATTTCGTAATGCAACTGGGGTAAAAATACAGCTATTTTGCCATTACCGCATCAAATACTATGAAAGTCTCTAAGCAACAGCTTTAGATTTGAGACACAACAATTGATTGCATGACTCTTCAGAAATCGCATTTTATTTGTCTGGTGGTTATCTTTTCCTTTGGACTGTCTGAACTACTGGCACTAAAAATAGCCTGAAAACACAGCCCAAGTGGGCAGGAGAATTAAGATTCTGTTTAAGAAAAATCAAAGGTACTTTAAATGAAGTGTTGCCAGCAGCTATGTGGCATCTCTGTTTTAGCAAAAGTACCTGTGCACTGGTAGTGGAAAAGGGGAGACGTTAGAAAAACAGAGAGGTAGGACTTCTCTATTCTGATCTCACAGACTATTTACACCTACAGAAATGACAAATCATGACTCCTGCATTATGCGCTGGAACCTTCTCTTCCCGGCATGTGTGGTACTGGACACCTGAAATGCTTAGTTGAAACAAAAGAGTTGGTAGCTTGGATCAATCCCTTTTCTGCCTTTAGACTATGCAGTGCCAGCCAGAGTATTAGACACTATGATTCACTTATTCACTACTTGTGCAATACAGGGACTGGGAGGCTGATCTATGTGATGCAAATGGCAATGGAATTGGTCTAATGTGCCTGTATCAGGAAGATGAAGCTGTGTATGCTGTTTAGCATAGACATTAGATGTCATGTCTAGAAGATTTTCTGCAATACTGAGATTCTTGAAGACAAAGAGAGGAGGAGATGATAGACCAAAAAATCTAACGTTTTTCTTTTCAAACCTGAGCCACTGGCTTTGCTGTTTTTTTTTTTTTTTGGGGGGGGGGGGGGGGGGGAAGTGGAGGGATAGATTTAACCCCATGCTGTAACTCCTGATAAAGCCAGCCCTGGGGAATGAGTTACAGAAACAGGCCTAAATGCAATGTGCACATGCTCTGCTGGCTCCACGCCTGCCTGGCATCGCTTCAGAAACACAGGCAAAGCAAAGCCATGTTGCAATGTCTAACCTAAATCACCACAGTTTGAAAGGGGTGAGAAAAGAAGGGTGTAGGTTTAACACTGGTGGGGTTTAGTACCACATTAGTATCTCATCGATCTCATACACAGAGGCATACGTTAAAGGTTTTCAGTAAAGCTTTCTGTGAATAAATCTGCTTTAGGAAAGAAAAGCAAACACCTCGTCTTTTTATGAAGGGCTGCAACCTCAACGCATGGCTTTTAGAGAGTCTGTTGTGATATCTGAACTGTGATGAGAAGCTATGCTACCTGTAAATGTTTCAAGTCTATGCCTCCAACCTTGAGCTATTTCACTAGAAGTAATAGGCCCAGTCCTCACAACCACATTGAAAAAAAATTTTCTTAAGGCATTGCAGTCAGCTACAGATGGGGGCTTTATGACCTGGGTTGGAGAATTTTAGATGTTGTTTTTACAAGATGTAACCATTACTGAGGTGTTGCAGTTTCAACCAATTAAATTAGAAATGCAAGGAAAGCATATGCTCATGAAGAAGAACACTCCGGAAATGTAATGCTTCCTTTCCTAAACCACACACGTATTTTTAATCTCTCATCTCATTTCTTAACAGAAAAATACCATCACTGTAAGCCAATTGTGCTATGGCTTTTTTGAGACAAACTTGTTTGCTCAGGAATTTGTGCTAGTAGTGTTGCTTTTGTGATGTGCAATAAAATGCAATATAGAAGCTGATGTAGCACTTCGTGAGTGATTTTTCTGTATTTAAAATTGCAACAAGCATATTTTCCTCTTGAATGTTTTTGTTTTTAACAAAAGAAATAAATAGGAGTCATTAAACCATTACGTCAGTTACTGATATTAATAAAACCTTCTAGCTCTGTGGAATGTGCACAGCCCTGAAAAGTGAGTTGTTCTTATCAGGACTGTGAGGCTCATTTTGATGTGCTCCTCACCGATTCCCACCTGAGATGAATAAGCATAGGCTTATGCTTTTCCACGGAAGTTAGTTTACCATTCTGTGAGATACCCTATGGACTTTGTGTCTTGGAAAATGTATTATAATATACTGCTATGTATTAAGCTTTCTTCTAATGAAAGTACAACAGAATTTAGAATTCAGCTAGTATTTATACCATTTCATGTAGTATGGATTTCAAAAAATGTAAAAGTCTCTACAGTCACAAGTAGTTAATATTTGAAATAATGAAATGCTTACCATTTATAATGCTTAAATATTTTAGCCAGTGTTGAATTTATGAAATAAATAGTCTCATTTGTCTCTTCTTAAGTCCATGTAAATCTATGTGCATATCTTAACAGAGTATTGGGAGGATCATTTGCATGAAAACTGCTGATGAAGACATGTCAAAATAGGGATGTTATTTTAAGACCGCTATAGTAGGGTATCTTTCTATTCAGGATATTTGTTAGCTCTGACAACTCTTTGGTAATTTTGTCTGACTTTTCACAAATCTTTGGATTCCAACAATAGCTAATAAAATCAGCTATGAATGCTTTAAATATATGAACTACATTTCAGAGAACATAAACCAGAAGAGGATTACATATGTGGTGACAGTACAGAACCATACATATTTGTTCTTTTGAACTGTGCAGTAGCATTCAGAGGAAGCCTAGTTCCTTCATCAAATGTCCGTATATTTGAACTGCCCTTGCCTAGAGTTAAAGCAGATTGCACAACAAATGTTATGATCATCAGCATCCATTCTAGGGAATCAAAGTAGCTGCTGACCTTTAAATGTGAACGTATTCATATACCTGTCTCCCAGACATCTGGTATAACCTGACATTTCTGTTGCCGGCGCTCCTTTCTCTTGGAACCCCCCCCACTCCAAACACTGCAGATGTAATGACCTGTGCCTATGGTGACTGCCCTCTTCCTCAGAGGACCTCTTGCACTTCTATTTCCGTGTCTCCTCTATTCCCAACAGTCCGCTGAATTATAACCTGACTTACTAAGGATGTTAAGGGAGCCACCAGATCTAGTGGACCCTCGAACCTGGGCATTCCTCCTTCCCGGCTGCTGGAGCCCAGCCTTGTGTGCTCTGAGATTCCAGCTGTCTCTCCACGCCCGTATCTGAGACAGACAGACATACAGGACGCTAACATGGCTGGCCATACAAACCGCCGCAGACAGAGCACTGATTTTGGCAGCACCCGCATATTACGCTACCAGAACTCACATAAGCACAGACAGCCCAGTCCTGTCCTTCCTCTCCAGCTAATCAGAATTGAAGCTTACTGGTGAAAACACACAGGGCCCTCACTCTTTTCATTTTCCAGCACACCCATGTATGTGGATACCTTGAATATCCGCTCAGCCTCTAAAGCCATCTAATATTCATGACCTGATGTTGGGCCCCTTATGTGGTATGCAGGTCAACTCCTACTCGCCAGCTAGCGCAGCTTGATGTTCGCTAATGAAAAGGATGCACACACTCACACATTCATTTCACAAGCCCGTCTGCAATCCCTTGACTATTAGCATGGGCTCTCAATCTACCTAATATCCATTCCCAGACCCTGGGGACCTTACCTAGCCCTCGGTTTAGACCTTGAGTCTTTCCAGATGTGAGTTTCCTCCATCTCACTGGCTAGTCTAGCTCGAAGTTTCCTAGCAAATCAAACATATGGAGGATTAAATTCACTGGGGGAATATAAACACACCCAGGTGTCTCCAGTTGCTGGCGCTTAGACCTCTCTCACATAAGTGTACACCCTGATCTCTCCAGTTGCTAACAGGTAGACCTAGAGCCCTGTGACCCACAGCCTCTTCTGCAGTTGCTATCACCTAGACCTTTCAACACACATATATAAAGAAAGACACCCCAGTACCTCCAGTCACTAGCACTTAGAACCACAAGCCCCATGGCCCATGGGCCCTCCAATTACTGACTTACAGACCTCTCCTGCATGCCGGTCCCTCTGGTCGCTGGCACCTAGACCTGCAGATCTTAAGACCTGCAGTCTCATCTCCAGTTGCTGACCCCCGGACCTCTTTTGCCTGCTGGTGTCTCCAGTTGCTGGCTCCATTTTCCCATGCTTGTTCCTCCCAAGTCTACCCTAATCGTCCCCTTTCCCCACCTTTAGCCCTTTCCCAAAACATCCTATGAGTAAATTTTACATAATCCCACAAGCTCTTTCTGAAATCCCACAATAAGTTTCACAGTTCTGCCCCACATAACCCATAATATTCATGATAATCATGTTTCCTCCATCTTATCAGTTAAAATATGTAGTTCAGGCTGGCCCTCTTTGAGGCTATTCCTGATTAGCTCCCTTAATGGCTGATCAGTCAGTGGCCGAAGAGATCTGATCTTCATTATTGTCTCTGTTATCACCTGGTCATTAATGTCTGTGTGTCTGTGCATTTAATTTATCACTTTCCTTGCTATTGCTTCTATACCAAATAGTCCTTAACCAAGTAGCTTAATGAATCTGATGCTCTCCTGTTCCACATACTGTTACACTGCTGTGTAAACTGTGAAAATTGTTGCAGAACTCAAGACTGGCAGATCCCCTTTGATTACAGACTCCACTTTCCTGATATTAAAGGCCACTATATCATAACAAGATGGCAAACCTGGACTTCACTGTGTTAACTGAAAGCCAGGATGTAGTTTCATGTGTTTTCTTCCCGTTCAGGTAGACTTAAAGCACAGGGCAGGCGTGTCACAGAACATATTTCCAGCTTTCTCCATTGCATACATACACACAGCAGTGTCAGACACTTCACTGGCTTTAGCATGGTATTTCATCCCGATGGTGCTTTATTTTTCAGCCTTTATTATCCTTTAACATGATGGCTGAGATAAAAATAACAGGAAGAATAATGATGTGGCTGTGGTTTTACAGCGATGTCCATCTTGAGTCTTTAGTGCTTGCTTTCAGTATCTTCAGAAGGATGTTTTACTCTAAATGGGGAAGGAAAAAAAAATGGGGTTTTGCTTTTTGTGTGCGTGTGTTGTTTTTTTTTAACTGCTATACTGTGACCCAGGTGTTTTAAGGTGCAAGCATCAGTATAAAATGCAGTAATAGGTGAAATGCAAGTCCACTAGGCAAAAGACAGATTCATTTAAAATTTGAAAATCAGCACATTTGCTCACACTCTCCCACTCAATGTGGGATGCCGTCAGGGCAGATAGAGCGGTGGGGGTGGAGGAGGAGAACACGTTTGAATGAAGGGGCTTTTTGTTGTTTGCATTTAATAGTTTTTTTTTTTAATTCCTAAGTTAGAGTCTACAGACTTAAAAAATCTGACTTCTTCCAATTTACTTTTTACTAAATTTGATTATTTCTAATGCAAGAAACAAGTGCTGTTGTTTAGGAGGGAGTAGTTTGTTTCTTTTGTTTTACAAAAACACTTTTAGAAGTATTAGCTACATTTGGAAGATATCTACATCTTTGATGAAAGAGGCAAAATACTTACTTCTTCTAGAGTCAGGCTCTCGCTGTTTTCCTTCCCTTGGCTGTACTTCTTTTTAAGGCACACTATGCTTGTGATAGTGACAATAAGCATAACAACAAATACAGTTATGGTTGAAGAAACAGCTATTACAATATTTTCTTGAGCTGAGCCTTTCTTCTCACACTTTTCTCCCATGTACCACCAATCATCACCTGCTGGACACCTACAAAATAAAAGAACAAACGTGGTATCAAATACAGATTAAAGGCATGAAAAGGGTTACTTAAAAAATTGTTATCCCTAATTGGCTGTTTCCATATCCTAAATCGTCACAAAGCCTTCTTAAATTGGACTTCTATTTTAAAGTTATCTTGAGTGGCTTCCTCTCCTTACAGATAAGCATCTGGATTTGCTACTTTCCCTTCAGCTTCCCCCTGTTCTACAGGTTGTTTCTTCATAGGGACCGTTTGTGGGAAAACCCAGATACCAGCCTGATCCTTTTGCTTGCTTAGGGTTAGCTGCAGCTGGTCCATGGAGCTGCTGCCACAAAATGGTCATCTTTTGCTACCAATAGGGAGGTCCTGTAGGTCACTCAACCCACTTATCTACCTCCTTGTCCTTTAAGTTTATAGCACCTCTATTGATATAAAACTCATTTTCTACTCCAATAAACTGATACTGTCACTAGGATCCCTATCACTGCCGTATTTGCTTGTACTATTACACTTTCTTATCCTGATGCAATTCTGCCTTCTATAGTGCTTACCTTTTATACAATGTCCTTCTTTTTCCTTCAATCAGTCAATTTAAAAAAGCCTTTATAGGGAGAAGTTGAATAAAATACTATGGGAACCAGTCCAGGAGCTTTACACTTCTATTGTTATCCAATCAAGCCACATAAACCATCCTCTAGTAAACCTCAAGCTCCTGGCTCCTCATGGTTTTTTTTGTTTGTGTATTTGTTTGTTTTTAATTCTCAGCTCATCTTATGTAGCAATTAAACCTGGTGAGGTAAATGAGATGGAAACCACAGCCTAAACTCTCAAAGCATCCCTGACCAGCTGGCGCATGAACCAAAACTTAGGTAGGAGAATTCCCCAGTTCTAGGATGGACTCAGCTGAAGACGTTCCCATCATATTCCCCTTGCCTTACACAGTACTTCTCAACTAGCAGATGGGACAAGGTCTGATTAGGCCTTCTCATCACCAGAGGGGGATTATTTTCAAATTGTAGGAACTTGTATGAGCTGTCTCTGCCTTCCCCCAAATAAGATAAGAAAAAAAATTAACATCCTAGCAATCTTCTTGTTTTAGGATTAAACAATCTTGAAGCCTTGATTCCTCCACCTTACCCAGCATCACTGTCAGTTCCAAAGCATTATACTGTGAGTGTGTAACGGTCCCAATGATTAAACTGAAAAAAATATATGTATGTGCAATACAGCTGAGTTCTCACCTGTCCCTATCTTTTTAACCCTGGTTGTCCCTTATGTTATTGCTTTTCTATAGCTCTTGTCTACATCAAATAATCAAAACTCCGTTTTCCACTCTGAAAATGAATCTATTTGCAGTGCACGGCAAGGTTATTGGCTCTTGGGGCACTTGGTGTGATCAGGCTTAAACTGAGAGTTATGTACCATATCCCCTCTAGTTTTCCCAGGGGGAAATCAGTGGGAAAACTTAGGTCACACCTTCTTAATGAAGGAAAGCAAATCACATACGCACTAGAGCTTCAAATAGTCTAGAGACGTTAGAAAATAAACAATTTCATTTCATCACTTTGAAATCAAGCATAACATTCCGTGTGATTTTTTTGTTCTTTTTGGAACAGCTTCTTGACGTTTTCACAACCTGTTTGTGATGTGCTGCACAAGCCCCCTTACAGAATTGTTTTTTGAAAGGTTTCTAAATGGGGAGATATAACACTTAATGAGTCATACTGGCTCTTGTTGTTCTCGGCCTTTAGATATTTGCTTCACAGCACTCCCACAGTCTACCTGTTTTGGCACAGCTTCACAGTACATTTTTACTATCTTCAGTCTCAGACTGTATCTGAGAGCTAGAATGAAGAAATCAGCCCAGTAGATTACACTAAGTGAATCCACAGAGAATTAAATAAAAGTTGCTATTCATTTTCTTGCAGGGCAAACAATTTTTTTAGTCCTCAGCCTTCATCACTACTTCCAAAGATAAGCTGCAACACTTTTGGTAGTTCATGGTCATGATTTGCACTACACGATATTTATGAATCAAACTCTGAACTAATGCCTTTGATGACTTCCAGACTGAGAAGTATTAAAAAGTATTTTCTACTGATATAAATGCCAATTTGTTTCACTTGCATTTATGTTTTTAACTCTTACATCCTTTAAATTTGGCTGTAGGGACTTCTAAGATGTATAGTCCATTTTATAATATTGGACTAATACATTACTGAAAATAACAAGTATGTTTTACACATAACAGGTAAATCAAGCAGAGTACTTCAAAACAGTACTCCAAAACATGGAGGCTAGGAACTTCTGTGTTGCCCAGGCTGGTTGTAAGCTTAGTCTCTTGGAGCAGCCGTTGGAAATGTTTGCCTTAATTAACTACAGTTTGTCTTTCCTTTCATTAGGAACAAAGATTTATTCTGCTAAAAGCTTTCATTACTCATCATAAAATTGTATTATTTGAGAGTGAATAAAGACCGTTACCTGCACACGGGTGCTTTATCTATAATAATGCAGATGCCATCATTTTTACAAGGGTTGTCTGGACAGGAATCTGGACTATCTATCTCCGGGGATTCAGTCGGGATGATAGAGGTTGTTGTGATGGATGGTGTGGTGGTGGTAGGTCTAGTGGTAGCCTTGGCAGTGGTGGTGGTGGACGTCGTGGTGGCGGAGGTAGGCGTGATGGTGTTGGCGTTGGAAGTATTCATAGCAAAGGTGGGTGAAACACTTGGCTGAGCTGGCAGTAGATGTGATATATCTGCATGAGAAAAACAAAAAGATACAAAGTTTTCACTCTATGCTATTTTTCCTCTCTAATGGTAAGTTCTAATAATAAAGAGAAAACCTACGAACTGTTCTAAATTGTCTTCATCCAGTATAATGAATAAATAACTAGCCTTTTTAACTTTCAGGATCAGGCTGTACTTTGGACTTTTACATTTTTCAGAAACAGACAATTTTATTCGAAGTACTCTAATTTTATTCAAAGTACTCTATTAAAAATATCTCATACAGGAGTAGCATCATACTAAACACTTAGATTTTTAACATGAACATGAGATAAATGGATTACACAGTAGATATAGACATATTTAGACGAATGCACAGATTTAGGAAAACTCATGATTTAACTTTAGCTACATGAGTAGTGCCACTGACTCCCCAAAACTGTTCATGTATAAGTGCATCATGTGTATTTATATCTACAGCACTAGTGACTTAGTAAGTATGTCACACTGTTTTTATTATGTTACAAACAACATCAGCTGCCATCCATATTTTCATACCTTCTATTGTTAAAAGAATATAAACACCATCTTCTTTAATAAAGTTGCGGCTTCTAAGTCTCTGATGAGTTAAGAATGCACTCGTTCCACTTCCTGGACCTCTCATGAATGTAGTTCCATTTGGAAAATAAGCTGTTGATCCCACTTTATCTGGTCTATCCCAAAAATAATTTGATGAGGAACCTGGAAAAAATGAACTGTATGTGAATGTAGGACCGCTCAGGATTTTTTTCTCAAAAGGGTCCCACTTTTCTCAGATAATCTTTGCTTCTGAGTAGTACTAAGGCTTTTCTCAACAGCAGACTGTACCCTTCTTTACCTGCCTCCGCTTATTTGCTCATGGATATGAAAAAGCAGATAAGTTACCTGAAACTCAGGAAGTATGAGCAATGCTGAACCTGCCTATAATGTTTGTAGATTTTTTTGTCTGAGATTCCACAATGATGAGCTGCAGAAGTACATGAACTATTTCTATGGCTGGATTTGGTCTGAAGTATTTGGAAGAGCCTTCTGGAGAAGAGGTTATCGGAATGCTAGCTGAAATATGGTTGTATTTTTATTTCTTTTAAAGTATAGCGGGCAAGAAGACAAGTAGCACAGGAATCATGTGTAAAATGTATTAATTCAATGCTTCTTAAAAAAGAACATCCTTTGGATGTAGACCAGAGGTACCTGAACAACCTGAAAGGTCACAGGTTACTGATGTCCCCTCCATCAATCCCAGTTCTGAATCTCAGAACTGAGCCTGATTGTCGATGAAAGTCTCTGATACACACAAGGGGGAGAAACTGCCTGCTCCAGTGTCTGTCCTGGTTAGAGAAGAGTCAGAAGGTTTCTCTTGGGAACCCGAGGCTACCAGCAATGTATGAATGTATGAATAACCAAGAGAAAAGGGGCAGAGGGCAAACACAACGCCAAGTCCAGGGAATGAGAGAAGGAAAAGGGCTGAACGCTGTGGCCACAACAGCAGGGAGCATGCGGAAAGTGTCAGCCGTTTGTGGGAGATGCACTCTTCACTTAAAAGGGAGGCCATTTAGTCATGCTGGATTACCCACACATTTGTTTTCATTCAGAGAATGAGAGTTATAGAAAAATGGAAGTGAATCACACTTTTTAAAATAATACTGTGAATTAGACATTTTGATGCCTTCCTTCCTCTATTAACATTACTGTCTGAAAGCCCAGGAAACTAATTCAATGGTGGAGGCTTTCTTTTGGCAAAGCCCTTATGTATCAATGCACCAAGTGGTTTTGGCCTAAATCCAGTCTTCACTGGACGCTGAATATGGGGTTATATTTTAATAACACAGAGATTCCTATCCTGTTCTCAGAGTTATATCTTTACCTAAACTGCCTCCTTTCCCTGCTATTGTGGATAATTGCTCCTTATCTTGTCACACCTTGAACAAGCACAGATTATGTAATGTGAATCAGTACTTTGTCCATCTGGGATTAATACTGATACTAAAGTTCCCTCTACTAGGAGGGAGGGAATTTGTTTAATGGCTACATTTTTATCTGGTATCAACTATCTATATTGTTAACTCAGTATTTTTCTTTTCAAGCCTTCTGGAAAACTTTCATTCTCATTATAGCTCATATAAATGCATCTTCACAGCGCACATGAAAGAAATTTTAAGAGTGTATGATTCACCTGTTCCATGATTTCACCTGTGCAGATCACCTCTGAAATCCCAGTTTAACCTACTTATTTATTCCATTTTTTATTGCCTATAGATGAATTGTATTGTTGCTGTGAGCGAATGTAACTCTCTGGAAGTTAAAAAAAACTGCACTAATTTACACAAATAGAAAACTTGACTACTTATCTTTTACTTGTGTTTTATTTGTATCGGATATTACATCTGTTTTTAACTAACCTGATAATTTTAGAGGATCTGTTGTTACACTTCTTTGGTTTGACATCCGTTGACGAATATCAGGATGCTGGTCCAGCAGAATCATGGTACCTTGTAGCCATGCACAGGGCCATTGCAGCTGATCATCGTTTGCTCCAGAAATCAAGTGCAAGTAGATTGCTAAATTAGATGGGTTATCACTGGTACCATTTACATACAAGCCGATCTGAAAAGCGTATCCTTTACTAGAGTAAAAAGGTGGACTGTATATTCTTCCTGCTGTCCCTTCAGGACTTGTGTTGAGGAGATGCGTGAAATTTCTGACATGCCAGACATGGTGGGGACACTGTGTTTCTGACAAATTGATGTCATCAATAGAGAGACCTCCGTTTGATAAGCCAGTTCCTCTTATGCCTTGAAACAGAACCCGGAATTTACTTGTGACATTCAAAGAAACGTGATGGAGCTGCCAGTAATCCACAGGGGAAGCTGAACAACAGAGATTGGGATTTCCAAGTCAGCAGCACAGTCAAATACTGTCCAGGTCTACAGAGCCCATTCCAACACCGTGTAAGGATTTCCCAGTTCCACTAGCACTGAGGTTCTGGAACATTTCCCTCTTAAATGTTACCCCTGAGGTATTTAAAAGAGGTAATATTTCTTGAAACTTTTTCAATGCAAGATTGTATTTTTCACTTCTGTTTTTCTACAGATTTAATACTTAGGCCTAGCATCTCTTTAATTTCAGTGAAAACAGCATTAATGGTTTTAAAGACTGCTTTGTATTTTTTATTTTTTAAAGAACATGGCATTAAGTCAGCCTAAATGTTGTGACAATTAAACACACACAGACAAGATGGCTGTCACTTATATAATTAAAAAGAAAAAAATTAGAGTAAGATATATTCAAATAATTGAATAACAACATATCTCAACATGAAAAGCTGCAGAGGCTTCTGGGAGACTAGAACTACAAGATTTGTTCATTTTGCTCTTGGATAGTTAAAGGGCTTGCTGGAAGTTTGCCTCTGCGGGAGCACTATTCATACATCAAATGATGAATGGTACTAAGCTCAAATTAAAGCCAGTCATTTGCAAAATCTACTTTGTACATAGTAACCTTAGTGTAAGTCTCATACTGCACTAGGAAGTTCCACTTAACTCCAAGAGCAGTGTGTACAAAAACAAAGACCTCTGGACAAGCGCCTTGCAAGGTAAATTGAAGTGTGACATCCTTTATAAATAATAGGTGCAGGAAACAGTTTCTTTTGCTGGAAGACCATACAGGAAGAACAAACCGGTCCATACATTTATGGAATAAACAGTGCCATTCCCAAATATAGAATTCATGCCTAATGTTCCCAGCAATTCTAGACACAACATGATGGATCTCATATACATGTCTTAGATTCTTGCCTTTTTTTCGTTTTTGTTGTTATAATTAGGAAGAAAAAATAAACCTAAAACCAAGAACTGCAGCATGTCACTATTTTCCATTTGGAGGGCTCAGACTAATCTGAAATTTACACCTACCCTTAGCAGCCCTGACACTTATATTCAGGATATCTGATGGCACACAGGGATAAAGAAAACATCAAGGAGAAGAAAAGAGGGGAAAAAAAGAAAAGAAAAAAAGGCATTAGTAGTAGTTGAGCCTCAAGGGACAAAGAGAGGCAGAGAAAGGACTTGATATCTATTTTGGAAAAGAACTTGCTCAGATCCTTATGTAGGCAGCAGATTGAATGAGTTGTAGCTGTACTGAAAACCAAGTAACAGGTAAGTATTTGAGAATGTAGCTGAATGACAAAGCAACTTTGGCAATTCTAGCTTAGAGAGCTCTTTTCTACCAGCTGACCTTCACTGCTCATTCCATAAACTATAAGCTCCTAAATCACACAGGTACATAATATTCCTCAGGATCTAACTCAAATTTTGACATGTTGCCATGTATTTCAATTCACTCATTTCAAATATTACCTAAAAAGTAAGCTGAGTTTTATTTATCTTTTTCAAATTGGTATCTTAGCTAGCCTAAGGCACTTACGCTTTTCATTTCCTTATTATTAGTGTCTTATTCGTCCTAATTTACTCTAATGTCCAGCTGCGTCAGGTGCTCTTGGTACCAGCAGTTCTGGAACGGTTAAAACGACTGCTCGTGGAACTTCAGCTATTTTAGCAAGAGAACTGTCGTGAGAATGCAAGAGTTTGTAATTTCTGGTACTTGATTATATTATAGGAAAATGACTAACCGAGGATCCACCAAGAATAATTTCACCAGCAGAGAATCAATTGCATAGTTCGAGAAGAAGTCAAAGAATAAAACCAAGAGATGAGACACTTTGCTATAATACTTTTCCCCAATACTTTGGAAAGGATAATGAGTACAGATTAAACCAGAATGCAATTTTAATCCATACCTCTTATCTCTTCAATGAGTCTCAAAGTACCATTGGGATGGGCCGAAGTATACTCCCTGACCCAGACATGTAGCTGGTCGCTTTCATGCCCACTGTTGTAGAAATAGAATTGCAAGCACTGAAAACCTCTTTTGGGATACAGAATTCGGCTCTCCAGGACAGCTGTGCTTCCCGGTCCTACAGTGCTGGTATTGAAATGCATAAAGTAGCCCGAATCTGTCAAAAGTGAAGGAGAACTGAATGACGGGAGAGAGAGAAAATAAAATTTTCTTTGCCCACCTGTGTTGCTTAGCACTATATTGAATTTATGCTAGAGGATATAATCAGGTTGGGGTCCCAGTAAGCTAGACCTTATACAAATCCAGTCTTTCAGGTTGAGGACTGTTACCTGCTCGCATTCTTCAGAGGCAGAATTTTTCTCCTTGGAACCTTTTTTCTCATTTAGTTTTCTCTAGCAATTTGTACTCAAAAGCATGGACTCTCTAGTTTAACTGTTTATCCAGTGCCCGTAATTTAGAGTTGACATTGTCTCTGCAGGACTGATTTAGGCTCCTGACTTCATAAAGTTTTCTTTGACGAGTCAGAAACAATTGGCTTTATTCTCAATTAATTGTTCACCTGGGCCATGATAACATATATAATCTCTAAATCCAATCTTTTCCAAAGACTTACTGAGCATTTATTCAAAAATAAATGTCTTATTATAGCAACAGTCTCATAGTGCAACCGTATCATAGGTTAGAACATGTTATGTTCTTGTGATGGTGTTACACTAAGACCAGAAAACAGACTAAAAGCGATAAGAACATTCAATCTTCTGAAATAAGCAGAAAATAGAATGTGTCACATGATATCCCTAAGTATGTTCTGTGTTGCTTAGTTAAACAATTAACTATAACTTATCAACAAATAACCTGAGAACAAGGCCGAGATCAAAGTCAACTCACATGGCTTTGCAGGAACTACTTCCCAGAAAGATAAGAACAGTCTTTTCTCATACCTTCGCATTCTCCCATATTGGTATGATCGGTATTTGGCCCAGCAGGAACCTGAGACAAACGCTGCCAATCACTGTTATCATCTGAACTTTGAATCATGCCACATATATTTTCAAGTTCAAAACTGCATGTGTCCATGAAGGTTAAGGAGGAGGCTATAACATTAAAAAAAAAGGTTACATGGACATATTTTTTAATTCGAGGCATCCAAAGCCAAGAGCAGAGAGAGACTAAGAAATGCAAACACACAAAATGATCAGCGGTTTCCCTTACCATCAACATACAGAGGTACAACGGCCAAGAACTCATTGCGTTTGGCTCCTAACGCTGAAGTTAATGAGATGTGGTCAGGGCCACACTGGGGCACTTAGCAAGCACAGAAGGGTGCCAGCTAATAATCATAGCACATCTTTAATTTATAAAAGGAATACTAACAGCCCCACCCACCAGCCAACACACTGCCAAAAGGTCTGAGGACTTTCCATTCGCTCCTGGGCTTTCTTCAAGCTAGTTCACACCTGGCCACAGATTTTGATAGTTTCCCTAGTTCCTCAGCTGGAGTGCTTATTTTGAAATACGATAGAGGAGCACCTGTTTCACTGCAGTATGCAAACCTTGATTTTCAAAAGCTTATTTGAAAAAAATAATAGACAAAGGTAGATTTGAGACCTGTGGCTATCTCAGCTCATACAAATTCTGAAGATCTGTCTTCCATATAACCAAGAAGAAATTAATTGAAGGAAGACCATGCAGTTGAGTAGTAAATGGAAAGCACATTGAAAGCGAAAATACTATATAAAATGTTTTCTCTGTCTAAAGCTGACTCTGGATGTGTAAGGGAAGCTACAGTCCAGGTTTAGCTCTGTTCTTAGATTTGTCTCCCTTGGTGCCATTTTTGAGCTCTGTGTAATGCCAAACATGATTTGAAAACAGCCACGTTAATAAAATGCTTCGTGGTTACTGCTTTTCAAACTATGTCTAAGATATTGTGGCAGGTTTAAAGGTTTCATTGCACCACAAAAAGGGCTGTGAGTATCACAAAAATCAACCTCCATGGCATGCCACGTGTACCACTTGTACTACAGTACAGGGAAGCACATAAAGATGAACGGTTGCCAAATCAAGTGCACTGTTGAGATATTTTGTACTGTCCTCATAGAAAGCTAACAGATCTATAGAGGCTTCAAGGTTATCATAAGTGTTACATAACTGATATCTTTTAAGACATACAATTTATATGATGTTGCAAAAACAGAGTATATATTCAGCTTGGCCTTCGGTTATATTAGAAGAAGAAAAAAATAGCTGGGGTGCCAGTCAGCCTTACGCAAGCAAGAAGGCAATCAAAAATAGAGAATTACTGAATGAAAGAACTCTTTGAAATGAAAATACTCTTTAATTCTACTTCAGTTAAAAAGTGCCTGTTGTTATGCATCTAATGTATAATGATGAACTGAATGACAAGAGCAAGAGAAAAGCAAGGCCCAACAGCATACAGTGTATTTCTTAGATTAATTAATGAGATAGGGAAAGGCAGCTCTGAAGGGGTTTTTGAACTCCCTCTGCACCAAAAGCCAGATAATTTATAGGCATTTAGTGCAAGGCCGGACTTTACTTAAAAAAAAAAAAAAAAGTGACCACTTTGGAAGATAATACATGGGCATTATGTTATGCATGCAATGTTGCATCCCGACTTCCAGTGGCTGAGGAGTACCTCTCTCACAGTCAGTTCTACTAAGCAATATGCTAGAAAGAGAAAATATGCTGAAATTACATTTAATGCTATGGACTGAAAGACAATCCTAAAGAAGATATTAGTCCAGAACTGAAGTTTCACTCAGAAATTCATGCATGAGAGTGATGGAAAGCTTATAAGAATAATGAAGAGGAAGAAGGACCTTGTCCACTGCTACAGACATCCTTAGCTTTAAATAGTTTCATAAGACCTAAGTGATTGTATGTCAAGTGCTCCAAGCTAGGATTGCATATAAGTGTGTCTTCAGCTTAGACTTGCAGGAACAGAAATATTTTTGTCAGAATTACACACTCACAAAAGTGCATTGTTTTAATAAACCAGTAGGATTTTTAATATATCTGCAGAATGAGGCTTAAAATACAATTATAAAACATTACTTGCTGCTTGGCATGCTGAGGTAATGAAATAAAAGTTTCATCTGAGTGCCATTTGATACAGTCACAATTACAGAAATACAATCCCATTTGGTAGCAGAATTATCTAAATTTCTAGGTATCTTACTTTCTTTCAACTTTCTAAAATAAATCCCACATGAGCAAAATAATTCTTTTGACCATCGTTGTAAGAAACTGGATTTGAAACTAAAACAAGATTTTAAAATGCTCGTGTTTTCTTCAGAAAAACATCCATAATCTATTTGAATGAACACACACTGTATCTCACTGACTACATGCGAATGGAGTAGATATAACAGCCACACAAAAATATTCATTTCTGTACAGTGTCTGAAGCAATAGCTGGGGAATGAGGGGTGGGGGGAGAGGAAGCTAGTGCAGAAGCATGCATTTTAATCAGCCACCCAAGGGATGAACAAAAATCTGAAGTTGATTTTTAACTAAAGGTCAAATGAAATTGCACAAAAAACTCTGCTACACAGTAGCGTTTCTGCAGGAGGGCTATGTTATTTCTAGCTGTACCATTATTTCTCATGTTTTTAACACAATTCACTTCTCCAAATATGTTAACATCTCTTTTACTTGTGCCTGGGTGAGTCCAGCATGTACGTATATATCACCCTCATTTCTTTCAAAAACCAGAAGCAAAGAATTTACAAGAAATGGAGAAACTCACAGCAGTTGTACAGCTGATTCAGTTTCTGGAGGTCATAATCACTGAAATCCATTCGCTGTCCAATTACGTCCATGAAGTGCGGTATGTTAGTTACGATAGTTGGTTCAGTTCCGTTCCTGAATGCAGTTTTGCTATAGTGCATCACAGAAGTGTAGTCATAGGGAACATTCAGCGAGTCTGATGTTTTATCATCGTATTTATTGAAATTATGTTCTTTACCTAAAAGAGAGAAAGAAAATGGGAAACTCTTTACTACCCAAGATGATCACCTCTTTACGTATAGGCTTTAAATGGCAGAGAATCCATTACACTCCCAAGTATGTTTTTGTAATCATTTGCTTGTACTTACTCCAGAAAACTATTCTATTTTTAATCTAGATTTATTTAGCTGCTTCTTTCAGCCACTGGAACCTGAAATGACTTCTAGCGGATGAAGGAAAGCTTTGTTGCTATCAGAAATCTTTCCCCCATGAAGCTACTCATAAATTTTGATCAGCTTTTGTTTATCTTCTCTTTTTGAAACAAAATAGATGAAACTTGCCTAGATTTCTCATCATTCATGCTACTCTTCTTTGCACTACTTTCAGCTTACTAACATATTTTCATGGGGAGGGATACTCAAGAGTGGACATACTGTTTCAGCAGTCTAGTTACGGCAATTTGCAGCTGCAGCAATGCCTATCTAACTTTGGTTTTGCACTGCATAACAGACACAGAGGATCACAAAAAGCTGAAGAAACAGTTATCAAAAACAGTCCTGAGGAACCCTGTGCAAACTGTCACACTTGTGTAAGACACCCTAATGCTTACATTCAAAAGCTGCATTGCCCAAGTAACTGCTTGTGGGATAGGGACCCTGAAAGGGCAACTCTACTCTCTGCATTGTGCTTAGAGGCAGAGGAGAAAGAGAAAGATCAATTCCCTCTTTCTTTGGAGATTTTCCACTGGCTTTAGTTGTACTGGCTTTTTCAGGGTTTTTTTTTTTTTTTACTACTTTTGTTTTGTAAAAGGCTCCTGCTGTAATACTGCTTTTAGAGTACCCGTTTAAAGACATGAAACTATTCTCTCCTGTTGTTCCACTGTACAACATTTAGCGTAATGGGACTCCGATCTCCAGTTAGGCCTCTGGGAAAAAGTAATAACAACAGCAACAGCAAATAGGGCTTTCTGTCCCAAACAGATGTCACTTGATATTTAATTTATTGATATGCTTGGTTGTGAAAAATAAGTCAGGGTGAGAGACTATTCTAACAGCTGAAGTTTGGCTGAAACTGGCTCCACAGCTACAACATACGTGACAGCGTGAAAGGAAAGCAAGGGGAATGATTTACCGGACTGAATTCTGTCCCACACTATTGACACATAGTCGTCCCGATCGGATCGTGACTGCTCATGCCAGAATCCCAGCGCATGAAGGAACTCGTGCTGAATCGTCCCAATTCGGTCGCAGTTGGCTCCAATCGAGAGTTGTTGCAGCCCCTGTTGGCGGTTTCCTACTGAGGACCAGCAACTAATATTAAAATATAATGAAAGACAGAGCTGTGAAATATATACCATTCCCATATGAACTCCAGAACCAGTCTATTCAATAGGTATGTTTTAACACTGAAGCGTTAAAGTTATGTTTTGCTACAAAGAGCACTTTTTCATTGATCTGTTCCTTACTGGATCTTTTCCACTCATGTTTAACGCCCTTTTGATGAGTAAGCAGTTCCTCAGCTCTCTCTTTTAATGGGTTTTCTTTAGTAGAAAAACGTTGAACTATCTGTGACAGAAGTAATTGATGAGGATTTTCATTGATACCCTGTTAAACATCAAAGACTATGGGCACATGATTTAAGGAAATCAAATTACTGCAAATTAACTAATCGCTGCTCCTCAACCAGGCCACGGTAACCGACTGTGTGCAGGCTTTGAGGTCATCCCTATTTTAAGGTAAACAATGGCAACATAAATTCTCATCTCTGCCATTGTATCTCTCTATATTTTTTGGCCTTTTGTTTAATTGCTGTTTGTGACAAAGTACACTTTTAAATGATTATGTATACTTTATGGATGGTTGGCAGATTTGACTGTCTGCCATAGGCTCTTTTCTTTCTACATGTTTGTGAGCTGTTGCGCTAGAGCCCTTGTTGACCGCTCACTTGCAAGAAATTGGAAAAACACAGCTATGCTGAAAGTTTGTATTAAAGAATAATAATATTCAGTGAGGTTTCTGCACAAGCCAATAAAATGGCACCCCATGTCCACAAACTAGCAGGCACAGAGAGTTACATTTAAATTGATATTTTATGCAGCAAATAAATCAACACCTACCCAACGAAGTCCATAAAATTAATCAAGCACAAAATATCCCATAGGATTTGCAATCCTATCACCCCAGAAGTTTAAAAAATAAGCACACCAGGCTCTTTAGAGGCCTATAACTTATTAGTGCAACATATTCCACAGTATTTCTCTTGCCACAAAGCCACATGGGCCATAGCTATTGATTACTCATTAAAATCACAACATGTGGTCTGGAAGGGAACACATTCAGCATCTACAATTTTGCTGGCTTTCCTTGAACAAGGACTCATAGCAATCATTCAACTCTTTCTGGTTGTGCAACCGTAGAAAGAGTCTGTTAAGAGTTCTGGGTCCACTTTGTACCAAAGTCCTTGTGTCTGGCTTCACAGCTGTCCTATAGAGCACAGGACATCCACAAGGACATCCAGGACACTTGGCAAAACTAGCATCCAAATGATGAGGAGATGCAGCTTCCCCTTGCTCTCCGTCTGCCAAATGCTTACGACGCCATCTTTCTGCAACTGCAGAGGGAGTAAATGCAGGTTCTGTGTGGCTCAGCACTGAGAATAAAACTATGCAAGTGGGAGATGGCACTGCCGAGCACCGGCCACCTGGAACTGCTTGTTAGCAATGTCTCTAGGAGGGGAAAAAACAGGAACCAAGTCCCAGTTTCTTCCATTGAATCTCCACATTCAATGTTTTCCACTTTGGTAGTTGCTCTATCAGATCTTACAGAAGCAGGGAATAGTACCTGCTCTGGTAAACCTCATCAGCCTTCTTTTCGGAAGACACACTGTAAGCATATACATGCTATCACTAGAGCTGATTCCCCACCCTAAGAGCCACCTATATTTCAGGTACTTTTCCTTATGCTGATGTCCTGCAAATAAATAACTTCCCAACGTATCAGAGCACAAACATTTTCACCCACCAGTATGGTGCTGGTCAGCCAGGGATCTGTATCAACTAGATCAACCACTGCCGTATGGACTATAGCACAGTGACAGAGAGCTGGAGAGATCTCCCAGGAGAGCTCCATGAAAATCTGACTTCCCTTTTGGAAGTACTAGAGACAGGGTTGATTCTCCCTGGTCTGCTAATTATACGATTCTACCATGCCATGCTAGTTTTCCTGCTTTTTTTTTAGCTCTGCATGTGAAGAAGAGGGAGGAAATGGCACACTCGTCGCAGTTTCCCAAACAGCTCTGTGTGCTTTGCAGGCACCTGCCACATCTAATGATCCTGCTGTTTCTGTAATTCAAATAATCTCTCATATATATTGCTTAGCCCACAGGCTGGAGTCAAGAAAAGGTCTTTAAATAGATCTGTGGTCTAACCTCTACTGCAAATGGACAGAACTGAATAAAAAGCTGAAGCGCAAGGCTGACCGTAACGGTGGGTAAACAGAATTTCTGACCCTTTGGGTTATTTAGGAAAGACATGCTCTCTCACTGTTAACGAATGTAGAAGACTGACAATGTGTACAGTGCTAGAAAACCTCACACAACCTCTACTTGCTTAGCATCATAAATACATATATCTGTAAACACAACACAGGCAGTAGCCAAGGCTTGGCATACGTTAGATGAACAACGTGGACAGGGAAAGGGCTTTTTCTCTGCACTGGGGCTGCTGACTCTGTGCATGTATATCAGAGACTGCACAATTATTTTTACACAGGGCAGCCGGTTTCTTTTGTGGCTGACTCCTTTTGGATTCAGAAGGACAACCCAGACAAGGACTTTATGACCAACTACAAATCTCTGACATGGAGTTTATCCTCCTCCCTGTGTATATTTTATAGATGCTAGCAAAGCTCAGAAAGGCAAAGCTGACTTATTGACTTTTTGTTGATGTGATAAAACTTCACAAATCTGGCTGGTGTCCCCGGGAACTTTGTGGTCCTGTATGCACTGTACCCTCTGGATTAGGTTTTTTCAGTCTGCAGCTACAGGAGACTTAGTTGAAACAAAAAAAAATAAATTGGGAAGGTCGGAGTGGAAACTGGTTGCTTTACCCCAGTTCACTTTGTCATATTATATCAGGATATAGGAATAGAGGGAAGTGAAAGGCGGTTTGCGGGGGGTCAGTTCTGAAAATTCCTTCGTACAGTTCAAAAATAGCCCATTGAAACTGGCCAGCCCATTTGGGAGAGTAGCTCCAGTCTTCTGAAAAATGCTACTGACCATTAACATTTTTACTGATATGCCAGCTAAGATGATAGCAACATTTCAGTGCAAGCAAGCATGGGGCAGTGAAGGCGACATGTTACCCAGCTGGAGTGACTTGTGCTCTTGATCGCCATGACCCATTTACTTCTAATAGAGATACAAAACAGAACATTGTGTAGAGGTCTCTTAATTAGCATAGGCTATATATTGTGGGTGTTTTTCATATACAATTTCTAGTAAATTCAGTGGATACTTTTCTGTGACTATGTATGACCCCGTATGAGTTTTCTGTTCAGCTCAAAGAGCCAAAAGACTCATTAGCTCAGGAAACGCACTGCTCTGTAAGTCTCCACATTCACAGCTTGCAGGATTGAGTTTCAATGTCATGTGTACATCACAAAGAGCAGGATATACAAAGAGCCAGAGACTGAAGAAATTTTGAAGCAGTTATCTGTTATAGATATCTCAGAGAAAGCTAAAGAGAAAGGGGAACTTTTCTATCATCTGAAAATCATCTTCCATTTATGGATGCTGTCCTGCTTATAGGAGGAAATGATTTTCTGAAAGTAAATTTCCTTACCAGGCCATCAAGATTTGCTTGATCTCCTTTTCTAACGTGAAAGAAATGGTTCAGCATAGAGTGGAGAGTATATTTGTTCTTGATGCACTGTTTTGACAGAGACTGTCCCTAGAAAGGGAAGTAGCTGGTGCAATTTTGACTTCATTATTAAAATGTTATTTTGTAAACTTCAGATGGAATAACATAACTATTCATCAAAAGAGGTAAATAAACTGCAGCCTCTGTAAAATGTCTCAGTGTTGTGCAGCCTTTAGAAATATTATTATACCTCATTGCTGATGTGACATTGTTCAAATGCAATTCTGTTTGTTATAGTTAAACAAGTTCATTGTCCCTCAGTTAAAACTATCACATTCCTGCTACAGGAAATTATTTTCTAAAAATAAAGTCTATTCAGAATGACCTTGTGAAAGTGACATTCCATATAGCCAAAGGTCAGGCAGAAAAATAATACGTTTGTTTCAGATATTTTTACTACGATAAGAAAATTAACTCTTTCAGGACTTTATTACATCTTACCTTTAAAAACAAATATCAGCAACAAGTAGCTAATTGCTACAAAGATAATATCTGATTTGGAAGCTACTGCAATTCCCAGCTTTTAAAAATGGAAAAATGGACATATCAAAATTTAAAATTATAATCAGATATATAGGTTTAAAAGCAAATCCTGGCCATAAAAATAGCCTGCAGCCAAACAGGACGAGAGTAATTTTACATTACTCCTCTTACCCACTTCCTTTGAACACAGATATATAATTCTTCTCTCCTTCCCAAGGTTTGAAGTCAATACAGGTTTTTAGCCGATACTGCTCAAATGCCTTGAGGATGAGTCCCTTAGCGTTCATTTCTGCAAAGCAAACAGTGTTCTCATCAATACTGAGCCAATAGGTTTGTGTTATTACCACTATGGAGCAAGTCCTAAGGGTAGGTCTTGCTCTAGCAATCTTTAATTAAAATAAGTAGGCTTTTTGCTAGATTAAGACTTGGGTAGGTACCTAAAAATCATAAATTAGGCTGTTGTGATATTTTACCTGTCTCTTGTTTTATTTCAATATTTTGGTACTTATGTATAAAATATGACATTATGAGCATATAATACATGACAGTGCATGAGCCACTTCTGTAAATTCTCTCATTTACTTTACTGAGATTTATCTGAGCAAGCATTAAACAAACAGTGAATGAAGACATTGGATTTCATCTAGTGCAACCTGCAAGTTACAAATCTCTTATAGGATCTCTTCAGGCCTTGAATTGCTAATTCCTGGGTTATCTCCTCTAAAAGACTAGCTTAGTTTCTACTTCCTCAAAGGCTTAGCACCTAGTCTCATCTGGGGTTGGTGAATTTTTTAGATAGGTGATTTAAATGGAATAAATGGCCAGGCATGCTTCCTTGCTTTAATCTTCGGTGCTCTTCTCTTCCTTTCTCCTCAGCGCAGTTTCATGTCTTAGATACCTGCCTTTACAAACAAAAGTAGCCTGCTGAGCTGTAGCAATGGCAGGGCAAGAGACATCCATGGAAGAAGGTGAGACCCCAGCACCGACACCAAGATGATAAACCTTGCTTTTGCATACCCAGAGCTAATCCTCTGTGGGAAATGCCTTGCTCTAGACTTAGAGCATGGCAGTGGGGAAAGGAGGGGATGTCCTGCTATCTTAGGATTTTACAAACCTGTGTTTAATACTTCAATCAAAATGACATACAGACATTGTCAAGGGCAAATACTGTACCCAGGCTATCTTCAAGGACATAGGGAATAGTGTGGGGCCATCGATACTCGTCGCCAATGATGGAGTTTCGTTCCTGCATCTCAAAAAGAAAATAAGTATGCAGTCCCCATTAAAATGTGGTTTAGGATCTAGGAGTAAAGTAGCTTAACAGTGCTAATCCGCCAAGCATGCATTATGTCTCTTATAAGTTCATATAAGATATATAACAAATCAAAGAGTTCAAAAACTTTGGCAGATCACTCAGAGATCTAAGGCTTAGGTCTGAAATATCTTCATTCCCTATGACCAGAGTTTCCAGTTTCTGCACCACTTTCTCCATGTAAATTACCTAAATTTTGATGGAAGCGTGAGGAGAGTTTCAGTTTCTATAGGATGTATTATAATCTAAAGCATTAAAATGTGCATAGATATTAATAATTTTGCAACATTTCATGTATGCAAGGATCTGTATCCTTAACAAGTGCTTTTCTTGCCATTGATATGTCCAAGCAGAAGCAGTTCACCAAAAGGGAGCGTAAAACACTATTGACTTTCAAGGGAACAAGATGAAACTGCTTTTTTGAATTTCTACTAGGAATCGTTGAGACATAATTTGTCATGTAAATATTGTATTTTATTGAGTGGATGGGGTACTGGACAGGTGCTCTAAAACATGGTATAATTTACAGATTTAATTTTCCATTGGCTTCAGTGATTCTACTTACAGAGCGAAGAAGTTTTTGCTGCACTCTTCTGTAAATTTAAGTGGCTGATAATAAATATTGTTCAGATAAATTAAGAAACTTCTATATAAACCTGTCTAGATGTGATCAATGCTGCTGAATCTCTTTCAAGTACAAACATAAAAGTCACAGTAAAGGAAACAAAAAGCTAATGATATTGATCGAACGGCTGAGCTGATCTTATTCTGGATAATGTTTCTGCAAATGTACCTGACTCCTTCGTTGTCTATGGCATTTTGTAGAAATCCATCCCCCAAACATTTTTAGTTTATTGTTACATAAACCACACTTATTGTTAGTACAAAGAAGTTGCATTTATCTTTTTCATGCCAGTAATACTTTACACTGCATAAGTCATTGAGACAGTTCTGGTTTTATATTTTATATTTGCACTTACCCTGTCAAGCTTGATGTCTCCTTCAAAAAGGTTCAGTCCTAAAGCTAAAGAGAAGAGGAGATTAACATTCAGTTATTGTATTGATCTGTGGCTACCATAAGAAAAATCACACAACATTTAAAAGCAAAACTGAATTTAAAAACAGAAAACCTTCATTGATGTCAAAGATGTCTTGATCAATTCCTCCATCTAAGTCTATTTCTGAAAAATAAAAAGACAAGTGAGGTAGGACATTAGCCCTTGCTGTTATCTTTATGGAGTGTGAAAATTAATGCAATAACAATAACAGTAATTATAAATCTGTGTCTGTCCTATGTTTATGAGCAGCTGCATGTGCTGCCTGCCTCCCGTGCACGCAAATAGAACTCCAAACTGAACTCACCAGTCGTCTCTGGAGTAGCCTGGCCAGGAGGGAGAAAACAAAAGATATTATTAGAGTGCATATAATGAAATGTGGCCAACATGATTCTCTTAACAGTATCAGAGATGCATTTTATGCTCAACTAACCGCGTTTAGTGCATCACATTGTATTGGAGTGACTGGGCCCATCGTTTTCCCTTTTGACTGGAAATGTTTATTTGCTTATGTGTCTGCTTTGTGCCCTCCCACTTCAGGTTGCCTAAGTTCAGTATGCCCTGGTAGAAAGCAAGTCACCCACTACTGCTTCTGTAAAGTTTTTGCAACTGTTTTTTTCTCCTGCCTCAGGCACTGCTGAGCACTCTTTCACTAACTGGAAAAAAGAGCCTATTATTTCTACAAAATCAAATATTGCTACTAGTCAGGTACTTTTCTCACAGAACTTTTCTCCTGCCAGTTCCTGGGCACCTCATGAAAGCTAAGCATTGCCATTTTAAACCTGAGGATGCAGAGATGGAGGGCCTGGTGCAGCATCACACAGCGAGGCTTGGTAGGTCTCAGCGCAGAACCCAGGTCTCCTCAGACCCCAGTCAGTGCTTTATCTGGGCTCCAGATGTCCAGAACTGTTGTTCAGATATCTGAACAACAGCTTACTTTACATTTAAAGATTGCTTTTAAAAAGTGCAAAAACCAGGTTTGGGATTGGAGCAAGACCATAATGACATTTATATAGCACAGTTTTCCTTGAGTTAACATGCCTATAGAATATAATCTATATTCCTTTATTAGGCTAAATGCTTTACATAATACTAAGCAATTATTTCTCATACAGTAAGTAAAATCATAAACCACCTTGCTAAGCAACTATTCCTGCTTTTTTTTTCCTGTTTCTCATCAGAAGTCCTATTTTCCTGAGTTTGAAAAGAAGCTCACAAACTGAAGGTTAAAAAAAAAAGTCCTCAGATTTTAAGTTCTGGCAATACAGGGTACAGATATGTCAAATGATAAGATATAACAGCTATTCTGCAAAGTAGGATGGGATTTTTAGTTTTATTTTTGCTACAGTTTTTTTTCTCCTGGATTTTTTTTTCTCTGTATAAATAATTTCCTATCTTTCCTACATGCAGTTTTGTATGCAATATTTTTGAGATCTTTTTTTGCCATATGACCCATATACAACCTCCAGTAGAAGTAATGAACATTAGAAGATCAGAATAGTCAAAAATATTAAAAATCAAGTCCATGCAGTCCACAACAATATTAATTTTGGTCAGCTCTACTGTCTGTATAACGGGTAAAAAAGTAGTGTGGCCAGAAATTTCAACAGAGATTAAAATGCATGTGTTGTTCTAGGCCTGAATTTTGGCATGTAATTATTGGAACAATTTTCAGGTGAAACAGGACTGAGAGCATTAGAATTGATGCAATGTGTCTGAAGTTTTGTTGTTAAAAATATAGATTCTTATCAAAACTTAACCCTTTTGCATAAAAAGAGTTAATTTCAATGAAATTTCTTCTGGAATAGGTTCAGAAAGAGAGTTCTTACTTTGTCTTTTGTAATGAATGATTCTGTTTTCAATCTGACATGCCCGTGTTCTAAAAAAGTCAGCAAAAGATAGTGAAAATATTGTAAGTTCAAAAGGTTGAAATTTAATTTTAACATTTTTATTCACCTGAACTAAAATTAACTGAAATTTTTGCTTTACATTTTTTCTCAGATTTTAATCGTTTATTCTGATTACCTAAGAGACAGAAAAACATTTTTTGCCCAGTCAGGTATAGGCTATAATTTCTAGTTTTAATATAGTTAATGTCTAATTGGTATGAACTCGCATAATTGAATGCTTAATATCTTTATACTATACAAAACCACACAGTTTCTAATCACTTTCTTCTTTTGCTTTTCATTTTCTTAATGCAATCTACTATCAACATGTGTTCTTATTCCAGCATAAAGGAAGGATTTTGACCATGAAATTTCAGTTACGACATTGAACAGAATCTGCTTCCTGACCTGATCCCTCCTTAAACGATATTACCAGAGAACCAGTAGTTCACAGTTCTGGGTTTCTTCAAATGCTGGTAGATTTCAAGATACCCAACTCTTAAAAATCTACGGTTGTGGTAGAAAAACCCTGAGTCTACTGAAAAACTATTTCTAGAGGTATGCAGATGCAACATGACAAATGCTAACGGATTGACTCTGATCTCATATTTCACTGAGTTAACTGGTGTTATTGAGGTTTACGCTGAGATAAGAATGGGAACTTTAGAATTAAAGACTTATCATATAAGAGTACTGTTTAATAAAACAAAATATGTTTTCCCGACAAATCATCCATACATTTGTAATGTCAATAGACTTCTCATACATTATGCACTTACATTCCATCATTTCATTTATTTATCAAAAGTTATTCATATAACAGTATTAGCTCCATGTATTTAATCAAAATTTGAAATCAAACCATAGTTTGTAAAACAAGCTGAAAACACATGAGCAAAGTGCATAAGACACATTTTCTACAGTTTCAATAATTATAATCAACTACAATGTTCTTAAATCTACTAATCAGAAAACAAAATGACGCTAAAGGCAAAAACAGGCTATCTCATGGAAAAGCTCCTCTAGCTGTAGCAAAAGCTCAGAAATTAGAAGTTGAAATCAATGGAAGTAAGTCCAGCTGCACTTATGGTGCATAGAACAAAACACGAGCCCATTACCAATACCAAATTCCAGTGATAAATTGAAATCCAGGCTGGTCCCCAGAGTCTGAACATGGTAAACGAACATTTTATAATGAAAGATTTGATCACTCCTTTCTAGTTCTTTCCGAATAAGGCTAAATTCTTAGTCATGTGAAACTTGGAGCAGCAAAATACTCAGTTTCAGAAGGCATATCTGTGCGTATAAATAATAGTGTGAGTAGCAACAGCTGGATCTGACCAAAAATGGCTATGGTCTCAATACCAGCCTAACAACTGAGACCTACGTAATGCATTTCCAATGTCTAAAAGTTTCATAAATAAATAACAAATTCATAGTTCACAGTCACATATAGAGAAAGTTTATATTAACTGAGGTGTAGCAAGGGAAATCTAATTTAGTTTAATCCAATGCTACTTTTAAACCTACACAAAATATTTTTTCTGAACATCAATAGTGTAGGGCCCTAACTTTGAAGAAGTTTGAAGAATTAGTTAGCTTGAAGAATTCATATGAATTAAGTTTCATTAAAGGTCAGTAAAACCATGGCTTGTGAACGCATTTAACTCGTTAGCAGTTCGCAGGCATCTTGAACTGGGTGGGAAACCTCTCACCTATTTTTGTCGTACAAAAAATTAGGTATGTAGTCTCAGCTGGTTATTTAATCTCACTCAGCAATCAGTGGAGATAGAACTGCCTAATTACATACAAGTAATTCATTTTGTCCCTAAAATACATGTGCTACTTCCACAATGGCCTGGTATCTCCAGAAGATGATCCACTTCACCTAGCTTGGACATTTTTTTGAGGATGTGATGAATCACCCAATAAACATTTCCCTCTTTCACCAGGGACTTCAGATGGAGCATAGTCAATCAGCTTGAATGAGACACCCTAACTTACCCCTATTTTCTCTAGACTATACAAGTTTGGGTATTAACCCACAGAAAAATACAAAATAAACTCTTCCTGGCCATAATGCATATGGAAATAAAAAGATTAGTTCTGGTGATCAGGAGCCACTTTCTCACACATGAGCAGGTTGCTAGGAGTCAGCTGATGTTTGACAGCTTGCAGATGCTGGCAGCAGCCTATGTAACCTATTGCATGCTTTGCAAAAGCCTTATAGCGGAATCTAAAGAAGGCTGAGACCTGAGTTTCCAAGAGGCTGAAAATACAGGAACAGGGAGTTGTGGCAGGCAGCGGGCACAAGAGGGAAGAGAACTATGGGAAAGTTGGAGCTATGGGATTGAGCTCTTGACTGAGGATGCAGACCAGAATGTGCTGGTGGAGAGGAAGAGGATATGACTGCCACATCAGGTTATTGGAGCTGAATTCATAGGATCGGACAGTTAGGTTGCATAAATTGAAACAGATAAGGCTATTCCACTTAAGGTAATGCCACAACAAGTAATACCTGACTCTGCAAATTACCCTGAAGCTATTAGCAGCAGAAATGAACTTTCAACAACCTGCTGGTTTTTGTTCTGCAAGTTAATTGTATTGTGCAATATCGTGCAAATTCCTGGCCACTGCAACGAATTATCACATCAGCTAAACATTACTTTTCTCCACAAAAGATAGGAAATACAAATTCTCAAAACTATCTTTGTTACTTTTTGTCATAAAATAGTTCAGCTGGATTGGAGGAACAGAGAATAGAGTCATGAAAAAGGGCATCCAGTGGCTAAAAAGATGCCTATTTTAATACCAAATACATTATGTTGCAGCAAATGTTTCACGTTTCCATTCAAATGCTGAGTAGCAAAGTAAGTTTTAATACCTATCTTGGTCCTAACACTAGACTTCTTATCCTGGTAACATTACTCTAAATATTAGGAGAAATTTTGCCTCGATGGGAATGCAAGATGAGATCTTCTGATGTACAACTGAACCTATTAAAAATAACAGCACTAAGACCCCAAGGAAACAGAAATCTCTCTTCCTTTGTCTTCCACACAGCCATTAGACAGAATTTTGCAATAGCTATGTACTCAGTCTTTCCCTTTCAAACTCATTTTATGCTACATTCCACTTCAACATATTAAGCATATACATTCCTTGTTTCCTTACCTGACTCCAGATCACCTGAAGAAGAAGCCAAGTTAGGAGTGCAGGCACAGAAAACCAGCCCATGTTGTCATCCAGTCAACATTTCAGATCAACTTGGTATTTAAGGCAGTAAATATCATAAATCAAAACCTTTGTCCCTCCATCAACGATTAACTTGCCTACCTTTTGTTGTCTTAAAAATTCCAGTAAGTAAAGTCCACCATTACTATATTAAGATAACTAACATATATTTTAACTATTTATAAATACTTCTGTGGGGAAAAGAAAAATAAAAAGGACATAAATGGATATACAGGACGACAGAAGGAAATGGAAATACAGGAGGAAA